TAATAATAATAATAATAATAATAATAATAATAATAATAATAATAATAATAATAATAATAATAATGGGCCCCGACTAGTAACAAATGCCAAATCCGGCGAAACAACTGGCCGCTGTGATACAATTGTGTAATAATAATAATAATAATAATAATAACAACAACTGACAAATAATAACAATTGACAAAATCACCATCAGTCAAATGCAAAAAGCCGCACTGCTTGGATCTGCACGCATATTACGAAAATACGTTACAATGTCCTTGTCCTAGGCCCCTGGGTGGGGCTTGACTAGTAACCAATGCCAAATCCGGCAAAACAACTGGCCACTATACAATTGTATAATAATAATAATGATAATAAATAAAAATAATGCATCATTAATAAAATGTATTTCCATTCTAACTATCAGTCTAACAAATCAGTGACCTCCAAACAGGAATGGCAGCAGATTCACCCCAAGACAAATGAACCGCTAAAGGCACCGATGGCCGGCCGGTCTCTCCAGAACCAGCCAGACGAATGTCTTCTACTAGCCCCCCCACCCGCTCTTGATTCAGTGTTCACCCCGAATAGCCACACACAGAATCTCCTCTTACCGCCCTGTAACTGTGGTAGATGGAGTCGGCATCAAGGCCTCCTATGGTGACTTCAGGAATGTAGTCGGGAACCGTCACAGTACTCATTATTTTTGACTTGTCTTCAACACTGAAAGGAAAAGGAAGAAGCTCGTCACGGTGACGGAGCCAAAGAAACTACAAAGTGACCAGGAGAAACAGACATAGTGTGAAGGTTGCCAAGCATGAATTGTAGACTTCTTCACTCTATCATGGCTCAGCAAAGTCAGGTGGTGGGTATAGAAGCAGGAACTTCTTATGAGGTAACCAAAGGGACAGCAGCACCTTCTCCATGACATCTCCACCACCCCACAGAAAAGAAGCAACCGCCTAGCTGGGCCATCACTCTCAGCCTGGAAGAGTCGGCAGGTGTATAGTTTGCACAAGGGTAGAAAGAAATCACAAAACAAGTTGAAACAAGTAACAGGCAATTCTCTCTGATGAGAAGAGGAAGCCTGCCCCTGGGCAGAAGCAGACTTAAGTCCTGAGGACTAGGTACTGGGGACAAATTATGGCTGCCTTTGCCGGACATAACTTGAAAAAGCCCAAGATAAACTTTTGCTGGTGTGAGCCAGCACGGGGATTCTTCACAGAAAGCATGGGAGGAGGACACAGCTTGCCCCTTTCCTGCGCAGAGGCTGCCTGGCATTTCCATCAGGGAAAGAAAGTTTTCCCATTTCCCTGCTGGGAAAGAAGTGGCACAGCGGATCTCACACACTCATCCCCCCCCCCCCATCAAGCGCTCCAGAGGAGACAAGTGCTGCAGGGTCACCTAATTCTGACCTCCAGCACTTTTGACAAAGGGGGCCATTTAGATTGGGCCTCTTCAAGCTTTACAATAAATCCTGGCTCTGCATATTTTCTTACTGGGGAGCGAGCAAAAAGCTTTCACCAAACCTGCCACACTGGACTTTCTCTATGTGACAGGATACAGGAAGGGGGGAGATGGGTAAATAATGTCTATCTGTCTGTGTGTGTGTGTGTCTGAAAGAAAGGAAAACAAACATCCATTTTTCTATATCGTACAGCTTCTTGCATTTACAAAATGATCCACATAAACCAAGAACCCTGGAAATTGTTTTAGCCGTTCTGACAGCCATAATTTCCAAATTTTGTGCTGGGGCTGGAAAGGTGTGGGCACTGTATTTAAATGAAATGTGTAACTAGGTTTCGAAGCCCAAAGTAAGGTGCTAATGGAAATCCCTGAGCCTCTTGTAGGATTCACCTCCTACCTCAGCTTCACAAGGAAAATTCCTCAGCATCCTCTCTGGATGCAGCTTTGATATAGAAATACCTCTCTGGAGTCACAGCTCTGGATTCCACCAGTCAGACCACACACCACCACAGCTTTTTGGGAAGAAGGCCACTTTCTTGTGGACTGCTTCCTGTTTTCAATTCCAAAAATCATCCTATCCCTCCACTGTGAAGACTGAACTTACCAACACCTCAAGTAATGCAAGGTAATATCATCTTGTTCAAGCCAAGGTCCTTTATTAAATTTCAGCATTTCAATGTCTTCAATAATCTGTAAGTTAAAAGATGAGAATTAATTCACTGAA